TTCTTTGTGCCCTGCACACAACCGAGGATCGAAATAATAGGAACATGAATAAATTTATACTAAACATAGAGAAATAAAATTAGAAATAGAAATTAAATGAAAATAACGCATAGACATGAACATGATATGGATGCAAATATAAAATAATGTAAATTAAACGGATTAAAGTTAATCTATGTTGATAGAAACGGCATATTTTATTTGAAGTGCACAAAAGTGTAACATAGTGCAAATGGAGAAACAGATCTTATGAGACTATACACTTTTCACTTTTTGCACTCATCATCTTCATTTTCTTTCTTTTCACTTTACACTTTACACTTTTTGCATTCATCATCTTTATTTTCTCTCTTTTCAACGCCCAAATATATTTCTATCTCATTTTAAGTTTCAAAATTTTTCTAGATTTCAAAAATTAAACAGCGCGAACAGACCTACGGTTTGCTGCTGCGCACGCGTGTAAAGCCCGGCTCGTAAGTCTTGTGTCTCGTGTTTCATTAATACAACTGCGACGTTTCATCTTCGCCGAATATCGCGACATTTTTATATCGACGCTTTGCCGTTGAATGTAAAATAATCACGATTCGTAGAGCGCCGTGTTAATTGGCTTCTACGCTGTTCGAAAGAGGTTCGAAGCGTTTCTTCTTCCTAACCTACTCAAGAATCGTCATCGACGACGAAACATGACTAAGAACATGATGAGAAAACCGATGGAGAATGGCGACAGTCGTGGATCTCATGGACAGGCCTATAAGGACAAGAGCAAACCCGCCGATATTCGCAGCAGCAACATTAACGCTGCCAAAGGTAAGATTATTAATTTGCGATCTGCGACATTTCTCGAACTGTGTTGGGACGTGTCCTTGCAATTCGATCGGTTATGGAAGACGCGCGATGCTGAGGAAAATGTTACCTTATATAGCAATGGGCGCGTTCTTGAGCCGGCAAAGCATGCTTGTCGAGCAAATGCATTGAACGCTGTTAAAAAATTGAAGAACTTGCCACAATAGTGGACTAATCCACATTTTGTAAAAATGAACTCTGAAGTTCAAGTGATGGAAGAAATATCAATATCACATGTTCAGATATATTATAGGACTAACCCACAAGTAGCCAACACAAGTAGCCAAACATGTGATATTGATATTTTTTCCATCCCTTTAACTTTATGGAGTTTCTATAATAGATTATAAATCAGAAGTAAGTTGTAAGTAATGTGTCACAAGGTAATAACAATCAATAAGTGACTGCGTCGAGATGGTCAAATTCCATTTTTTATGATTTTAAACTTAATTCTATTATGACTGATCAATCACATGTATTGTTATTTGCCCTGGAAACTGCTATCCTTATAATTGGCTAAAATATTGTGACAATGATTTAATATGATTATTTTGAATATAAAATCCTAGATTTATGATACTAGATTTATAATTTTGATTTATTATTAATATGATATAAGACTAACAGTTTATTGTAGAAAATTTGTTAGAGTTTATTTACTCTATTTTTTTTTAATGTAGCTTACTTTAATGTAGTAAGTCCTTCAATTGTCACAGATTCTTGAGTATTTATTATTATTTGTAAGATAAATTACAACACTAATTTAGTTTCTATGATTTGATTGTTTATATTATATATATTTTTTTATAGCTGTTAGCGATGCAATTCGTACAAGTCTTGGACCTAGGGGGATGGATAAGATGGTAAATTCCATATTCATTACTCTTTCTATTTGATAAAGTTATATATATAACACTATTATATACATAATACTAATTTATTTTTATATATTCGAATATATAAAAAAATATTATATAACTATAAAATATTATATAACAGATTCAAGCTGGTAATGGAGAAGTTACTATCACAAATGATGGTGCCACTATCCTGAAAGAGATGAACGTGATCCACCCTGCTGCAAAGATGGTAAGAAATAAATTTTCCTCTGTCTTTAAATTTCATGAAATTTTATATTACAGTTTATATATTCTATGTTTAGCTCGTCGAGTTGTCAAAAGCTCAGGATATAGAGGCTGGTGATGGTACCACGAGTGTCGTCGTGATAGGTGGATCACTGTTAGAAGCAGCGGAACGTTTGTTGCAGAAAGGCATTCATCCTACTTCGATCAGCGATGCTTTTCAGAAAGCAGCATCTAAAGCAGTATCAATTTTGACACTGATGTCCATACCTGTTGATCTAACAGATAAAGAATCTCTTGTAAAGGTTGCAGCAACATCTCTTAATTCCAAGGTATGTCTAATACTGCATTTTATAAAAATGTTAATAATATTATATTGTACGTCAGGTTTTGTGTTCAGTCTAAAATTATATATTACATGTATATCATAATTTTAATATTTGTTATTAATATATTTTAGGTTGTGCATCAACAATCTAGTCTTCTTGCACCACTTGCAGTGGATGCTGTGTTAAAGGTTACTGAAGAAGGAAAGGAAGTGTCAGTTGACTTAAATGTGAGAGCAAATTGTTAGATTATTTAGCAGATAGTGTATTGACATGAATTTGCTTATGTATGTCTCTTTATAGGACATTAAAGTGATAAAGAAATTAGGAGGAACTGTCGAAGACACTGAATTAGTAGATGGATTAATATTTACTCAGAAATCTTGTAATGTTAATGGCCCGAAACGCATTGAGAAAGCTAAAATTGGATTAATTCAATTTTGCATTTCACCACCGAAAACCGATGTAAGTATAGTGATACACGCGTATTTGTTTCTATTAATCTTTTACATAAATAAATAATCAATTTTTTGTATTTTCTAGATGGATCATAACGTTATTGTATCGGACTACGCAGCGATGGATCGTGTTTTAAAGGAGGAACGTGCCTACATATTGAATATTGTAAAACAGATCAAGAAAACTGGTTGCAATGTACTTCTCGTGCAAAAATCAGTTCTGCGCGACGCTGTTAGCGATCTTGCGATACATTTCTTGGACAAAATTAAGGTCATGGTGGTAAAGGACGTGGAGCGCGAGGACATTTCTTTTGTATGTAAAACGCTAGGTTGCAGGCCAATTGCGTCGCTGGATCATTTTGTGCCTGAAAATCTTGTCAATGCAGAACTCTGCGAAGAAGTTCAAACTGGAAATTCGAAATTTGTTAAGGTGTGTCTCCTTTTCTTAGAAAAACATAAATTATTATAATATATAATATCATCTTTCATTTGTAGTTAAATGCATTTTATAACAAATAGATTTCATATAATTGACATATTTTTTATACAGATCACAGGAATCCAAAATCATGGAAAAACAGTTACGGTCCTTGTACGTGGTAGCAACAAATTAGTATTAGAGGAAGCTGGAAGATCATTACACGATGCCTTGTGCGTTATCCGGTGTTTAGTGAAACAACGAGCGCTGATTGCTGGTGGTGGAGCACCAGAAATTGAATTGGCATTAAAATTGGGAGAATATGCAGTGACCTTAGGCGGAATTAATGCATACTGCATCAAGGCCTTTGCAAATGCGCTTGAGGTTAGTGTTTCAAATGCATTTTATAATTGTATATAGATTTTGTTTTAAGAACATTTTTATTCGTATTACTTAAATTTCTATTCTTTAAAAAAGAGTTATCGCAATCGATTTATCTAGTTATCTTACTATTCTTTTATTTTTATTACAGTAATATCTTTTCATTCAAAATTCTTTATAATATTATGCTCTCTATGTGCATACAAGTAACAAAAATAGCCCTTCTTTCGCTTGATAAGCAATTGTTCTATCATTAAAATATTTAGCATCCAAATTGATGTGTAATAGCCAGAAACAATTAATATGATGCTTAATAATCTTGTAATTTATAAATCGCAGGTAATTCCGTCGACGTTAGCCGAAAACGCGGGTTTAAATCCGATAGCTACAGTAACTGAACTTCGCAATCGACACGCGAAGGGTGAAGTAACTGCAGGGATTAACGTTCGGAAAGGCGCCATCACTAATATATTGGAAGAGAATGTGATTCAACCACTGCTGGTTTCTATTAGTTCAATAACTCTTGCTTCTGAAACTGTACGCAGTATACTGAAGATTGATGACATTGTCAATACGACTCAATAAATCATGAGACGTGATTTAAAATTGTTTCCGTACTTGTAGTAAGTATAATTAACAATACATAGTACTTTATGTTTTCGTTATCTTTGTAATACGATTTTTCATTTTCGTTACAGATTTGTGCACACATTCATCACATTTGTTTCATTAATTACGAAAGTCTATACATTAACGATTAATTGTATCTGCTTTTTGCAAAAGTTTTACATAATGTAATATTTTTAAGCATGTCGATACTGAATAATAAAATAATGTTGAAACATTTCATTGTGAAACTATATAATTTGTATTTATTTTTTCACAAAGCAAACATGAGAGCATTATAAAATTGTGAATATACAAGGTGCGTCCCAAAATTTTCCGAACTTTTGAAATAAAACAACAACGGTTTACTTTTTTTTTCAAATTCAAATTTGTTTATTCAAAGTAGTCCCCATCGGACTCAATACAACGTTTGGCACGATCTAAAAGCATTTCGAATGAGTGTTTTATGTCGTTCAAAGGTATGTCCTTCAGAATAGTGGTACAAGCCCTTTGGATGTCTTCTACGTCCACATACCGCTTTCCTTTCATGGACAAATGCATTTTGCCGAATAGGTAGAAGTCACAAGGTGCCATATCAGGTGAATACGGGGAATGGTTGATTGTTAAAATGTCATTTTTAGTCAAAAAATCAGTGACAAGTGTCGAACGGTGAGATGGCGCATTATCGTGTAACAAGCGCCAACTTCCTTCTTCGCGATATTCTGGCCGAATACGACGAATGCGGTGCACCAAACGCTTCAAAACGCTTACATAGAATACAGCATTAACTGTTTGGCCTGCTGGAACGAATTCTTTGTGCACAATACCCTTGGAATCATAAAAACAAATGAGCATTGTCTTCACTTTTGACTTCTCAAAACGCGATTTTTTGGGTTTTGGGTCGTTTCGCGCCTTCCATTCCGCGCTTTGACGCTTGGTTTCTGGATCGTATTGAAAACACCACGTCTCGTCACCAGTAACAATGCTATAAAGGAAGTTTTGGTCCTTTTTGGCTTCCTTAATAATGTCCTTTGAATGTTGAATTCGAAGCATTTTTTGGTCGTCAGTCAACTTGTGTGGAACAAATCGTGCACAGACTTTTTGTAGGCCCAAATGTTCGGCCAAAATGCGATAAATCGTTGATTTGGGGATGTTCAATTCCATTTCCATGTATCTCACTGAAGATTTTGGCTCATGCTTGATGAAATTACGCACAACTTCGATGGAATTTTCGTTAATTGTCGATTTTGGGCGACCTGTATGTGTGTCGTCATTTATGTCCTCACGACCGTTCTTGAATCGCGTATACCACTCATAAACACTGGTACGGGCTACACAATTATCACCATAAACTTGTTTCATCAAATTATGGGTTTCGGTAAATGTTTTACCAAGTTTAAAACAAAACTTAATATTGGCTCTTTGTTCGAAGTTCATTCTCGTACCGATGTATACAACATACTGACACTTGAAACGCCATAACTTCGTTTCCACTGAACCAAATGTCATGAAATTTTCACTGGAAGTCAGGTAGGGATGTACTTTTCAAACGCGCAATCGAACACACAAATGGCGCCACCCGACCTATCCCTATTGAAAAAGTTCGGAAAATTTTGGGACGCACCTTGTATAAATAATTAATGAAAATAATCTTTACTTTTTCTGATTGATTAAAAGGAAGAGGTAATTAACTTTTGGGAGATCTTATAAACATTAATATATATCTAAGAAAGATATAATGCATACATACTGATTTTTTTTAACAATTTAATCGAAATACAATCTCATACACAGATTTTTGGCTAAGTATAACTAAAAATTAAGTACATTTTGCATATAATAAAAAATATATATTTATCTATATTAGAATATATTGTATCTTATAAATTAACTGCATAATCACGTTTATATTGCACTTAAATCCTAAAAAATCGTAATAGTCATTAATGTAATTAACCATAAATTTTATTAAGTACATTTATATGATAGCTGCATTAGAAATCTCAAAAGTGTACATATTGAGATCGTAATCCCCGATGAAAGAAATCATTCCATTCCATACATTACAGATAAATATGCACAATATCGTTGTGTTAATCGTTTTTTTTAGCAGCAATAGTTTGTTCTTTATTCAATAAAAATAAAAGTATAGTAAAATTTGATAAAAATAAACACAAATTCTTATTAATTAAAAATATATGCGAAACAAATATCTGAAACATTAAAAACTATAAAATTTTATTGAAACTAAGAGAGTAAGACCCTTAGAATAATCATTAAATAAAGAAAGCCTATATAAGCAGTTATTAATGTATAAATTATTGTATTTAATTACAATAATTGATGTTTACATAACTATGTAGCTATTATATTCTCATACTGACGTTTCAATCTCAAATAAAATTTTATGTAAGATCAATTTTATAAAACGACAACAAAGAAACTTCTCCCAATTGTTGTGAAAAGAAATAAAAAATCTAACATAAACTGTTCATTTTACAAAATAATTTTACAAAATAAAACATTCTTTAATATTATTAATTCTTAATCGTTTCATTTTAGTAATATTTGTATAATATTTATAATAGTTCTATATTTTAATAATTATTAAACGTGTAAAATGTTTTACAGTAGCAATGAAAAATTTGATTCACTGGTATATAAAAATAAAAATATCTTATAAATAAGTATTTCAATTTTCTGGAATGTATATATCTCTTTTATATATAAATTTTTACACACATTCTCGCATAAGCTCACGCGCAGAGATTATTGTATAATATCAATATAAATTACAATTTTCATTTAGAAATAAATGTTAATTTCTATGTTATTTTATAATGTCAACTTTTAGCTATCGAACAATATAGAAATAACATTATCAACTTAGCTAGGAATTTGTTCCTAGCAAAAATTAAAAAGAATATTTTTTAATAAAATTTTTATAAATTAATAATTTATATTAGAAATATTAGACGAAATCTTGGCAGTAGCAATGAAAACATCGTATATCAAAATATTTTTCACATGTGTAAATCTTTCATATATATACTTATAAATGCTATTAAATATTAATTTCTCATTACAATTTATCAGTCAGCGTAAAGAGGAAGCAATATGCTTTAACTGGGATAATTTCGTTTAAAAAATTACATATCCAAATGCCTTTGTATTAAATTTAAAAATTTTAATTAAACTAAATTTTTGAATTTTAATTAATATCTAAATTTAGATGACACGTGTACATTTCTAAATGTAGGAGACACTTGAAAAAGTTCATTAAAGTTGAAATGCACTTTTTACATTTCATAAAGTGCTTACCTCCTAACTTTCACCTTAATATATCTTAAAATCCAAAATTATTGTTCTTAGATTCTTAGATATTTATTCGATGTTTATGTCAATATTCGTAGTTATTTATTTATATCGCTTTCTAATATATAGCGAATTATTAGTCTCAAATAAGTGTGTTAAACTTGAATTATATATTACTAAATAAATTTCGTTCTTGCGTATAATTTTAAATAATTTACAAATTTTGAAATAGAAAAATTTCCCTTTTCCATATTACCATCGTGGATGGACTTGATGAAAACTCCATTGCTGATAAGCATTGTTTATGTCACATGGCATCAAAGATAACTGCTGAGTTTGAGGATGAAGTGCAATACATTTTTTATATACTCTATGTAATAATGTTTTTGTTTTCTGCAAATATATAAATTAACATATATTGATAATATTCATGTAAGATTTTTTTATCCATTAAACGTTTTTTTTTTTATCAAATAATAATAAACTTACTTCATCGTACTGCCATGGACCGTCTACAGTTCCCAGACGACAAAATGCGTATTTTATACGTTGGCCGTCTGCATCAATGCATCTTTCACCAACACCCAATTGGCCCTTGGCATTCAGCCTGATAAGCTAATAAGAAATATATATTAAAGATTAATAAGAAATATTAGAAATACAGAGACAATAAAGTATGGAATAAAGAAATTAATAAACTATATTAAGAATAAAAAATAAATTATTTGCAAATTACTTGATTATTTCCAAACCCATGACAGTGGGAAGTAGCCATGAGACTTGGAGGTGAGTGACCCATAGTATCCAAACATGATCCAGATGCCGTATTACGTAACTGAAAAAGTATTGTCATTGTTGATACGAAAATTATGTAGAAAATTTGTTGAGAAAACTGAAGCATATGCGCTTTTGGTCAAACATACTTCTCCCCAGTGAATATTTGGTGGCAATTCTGGAAATTTATCTAGCACATCATATGCTACATTATCGATGAACCATTGGAAGCTTTTGCATTTCTTGCGTTTTTTAAAGGCTAATTGTTCGGATATATCACCGTGATCGAGCAATCGAGCCAGAGGTTCTCTAGTATAAAAGAACTCTTTGTGTTTCTCATCGAACCACGTTTCTATAACTCTTTTATAATTCTATAAAAACAATTCATTTTATAACTGTTTCTTTCGGTAAAGATATACGTATATATAGATGTATCTGTAGATGATATAATAACTCACAATGGTTATTAATGGTCCTTTCTTTTTCTGAGCAAGTTTACCGAATGTGTAAGGCATAAATCCTCGATAAACATGCCCGACATGTGAGCACGGAACCCACAAAATACTTCCACCACATTGCCATATCTTAAAGGATAATTCGAAATTTTCTCCTCCCCAGACGAGTAATCCTTCATCATATCCACCCAATGATAAAAAGTATTGTCGACTTATGGCAAATAAACCACCAGCGTGCGTAGGTGATCTGTAAGCCGTATATGAATAAAATAATACTGGAGAAGAGAAATATATATCGAAATAACTAAATAAGATTATATATGTAGAAACAGAAATTGTACCTGTACGGCATACTGTCATGTGCACGCGTTTTGGCTTCCCGCCTGGGTAATTCGTTCTCTTTATACAACATTCCCCATTCAAATATTCCTCTGTACAAATGTCCTTCTTGATACACAGGACGATATTCAAAAGTTTTGTGATCAATACCGTCTATCACAGGAACAGTCATTACGTTTCTAGAAGAAAAGAAATGTATAATTTAGAAGAAAAATATTGCGAAGTTATAGGTATTATTTTATTATTACTTCCTATTTAATAGTATACTTCAATTTTTTCTAGTTACAAAAACATCGATATTCTTTCATTTCTCAATGTAAATTATTTTACCTATTTTCAGCAATTGGTGCTAAAAGTGGAGGCAGCCAATTCACATTAACTTCGCAATGAGCATCTAAAAACACTATTACTTCGCCTCTGGCCTCACGTGCTCCTCGAGATCGCGTTCGTATTAAACCTTGTCTCTCGTGATTTCTAAGTAATCTAACTTTTCCTCCCCATTGTTCAATATAGGAATCTAAATCACTTTTTAAATTCTCTGGAAAGAATTGTATCATATATATGTTAACTATCACATATTTCCAAATATAAATACTGTGGCATTTCATTAAGGAATATACCTTTATCAGAAAAATCATCAACAAGAAGAACTTCTTCAAGTAGCTTTGATGGAGTACGATCTATAACGCTCTGAATAGTTCGCAGTAAGACAGACCAACCTTCATTGTGAAAAACTATAATAACACTGGTACGTGGTAGCTCTTCTGGATAGTTCCAATGCTTACATCTATATTATATAAAGAAAAACATAAAAATTGAAAGATAGATCAGAAACTAATACTATTAGCTGTACAAGATGGAACTTACTGTGCAAGTCTGGTATCTGGTATCGATCTCGACAATGAGATTTCGTCAGAGCACACCATATTCATACCATAATCGGATTCCGATTGCTGGACATCATTCAACTGATCGTCTCTCAAAATATGTGGTTTACCACCTTCTCCAGGACCGGATCTAACTGGTACATCTCGTGGTTCATAATTTCCTAAACCTTCTACAAGCACCGATACCTACATAATGTTAAAAAGAGATATAGAAGCTGTCTTCAAACAAAGAGGCACAGGTAATACAGTATAAAGCAGTGAATCATTATCTTGTTTGCCAATATTAAATAAAGATGAAATAATTCACCATGTCATTTGTATTTTTTGATAAAAGATATTTAACATATATAAGGATAGAAAGTATCCAAAAAATTGTCAATAAAAAATTGCTTAGCATAAATATTTATAAAATAAATTAATATTAATTTATATTAATTAAAATAAGTACTTTACCTGTCTCTTTCCACGACTTTGTGACCAATATTCTTTTATATTGGTCATATGATCGTCCGAGGAGAAATTAAAAAGAATATATAAAACTAGCAATGTCAGAGTACTGCCAATCAACATATGAAACAAGCGGTTTCTTCTAAACTGCACAATTCTCATCTTCTCCAAATTATATATCTAAAAATTTAAATATATTATTTAATGCTGTTTTTTTAATTTTGGAAGCTCTAACACAATATTTTTTAAAATTCTGTCAATGCTGCATATTATTTCAAGATTAAATCAAACTGACAATTGAACCGCTGTATGTGTTAACGCGGGACTAACCTGTCCTATTTTTAACTAATAATTCTGAGAAATAAATGAAATGTACCTTTCGTCGGAAGAAAGAAACTGAGATAATTCAGAGCCAGCTCAATGGCATGCATTCATCAACGTGTCAAACATCAATAATTATACGTTTGCAACCTACATATTCAATTGTATCAAAACTGCAATATCTACATTTGCATAAAAGAAGCCAACGTGTCGCCAGCTGTCGCGTACTAAAAATGTGAAGATAGAGACGCTGCATTTGCAACCGCAGATCTTTCGCATGCTCATCGCCATGTTTGCGCGATTTCTCGCGCAAATCATGAGGTCTGTTTTCTGTGGCTGAACTAGTGTACACTTTTGGAACTTAAAATGAGATAGATATACGTTTTGTGGCGACTCGCCACCAGAGGTCTAACGGGACTCGCTCGGGTTTGATATTTGTTTAAAGCGAGAAAGAGAGTTAGAACAGTCTAGTACAGGAACCGAAAACAGATCAATGGTGGAAGAAATTTTGGCTCAAATATGGCTCCGCATCATCAAAGGAATAGAAAACAGGGAACAACAGGGAATTGTAGGGAACTGGTATTCATAGTCCATTCTTATATTCAAGACCGTCTTAAGATGTTCTTTAGATTCATAGTCGAAAAATAAGACGGTACTTGAGTAAAATCTCAAGTTAAAACTTATCGAAGACGATCTTATTTCAAAACGTCTTGAACAAGTTTTGAGCCATCTTGAACCGTCTTATTTTTCGACTATGAACCTAGAGGATATCTTAAGACCGTACTTAAATTAAGACGATCTTGAATATTAGTCTAAAGCCCAATGTTCACGATGCTAGAAATCGGTCCAAGATCTCAAGTAGAGAAAAAATTAACAAATCGCATTTGAACAATTTGGTCATATGACCAATGCGATTGGTCAATTCTTTCTTCATTCGAGATCTCGAATCGATTTCTAGCATCGTGGACATTGGATTTAAGAACGAACTATGAATACTGCCCGAATATTGTTATATTGGAACTGATCAATTGCATTTTGCTGTTCAGCAGAATTGACCAATCACAGTTGACACTTAATCGACTGATTAATAGGTCAATAGTAGTTGGTGAGACCAGCTCTTAAGACACTAATGTAGCGCTCTGATTGGTTCGTGACTTCTTAAGACCGCATTTAAGACTTTCACCCGTATTCATAGTCAGGCCTTCCTTAAATTTATCTTCAGATACTCTACGAATTATTTATTTATGGAACATTTATGTAATACAAAAATCATGAATTTAATAATGTATGAGCCAGATATTTATGTTAATAATAACAGATTTATATCAATTGTCGATAATGTCAACATTCTTCAATTACCTCCAGGCCCTTGGGGCCCTTTTCATACCGCTGAAAATTTGCCCAGAGTTGACGGTCTTTAATAGTATCGTCGGTGCTTAAAGTATTTGGGTACTAATTTACGTTAGTTCCACTTACGGCCGCTAGGCGCGCTGGAGAGAATCTTAGCGTCACTAATATTAATGTTTATTTTTCTTTACAAATTCTGAGCTTTCTTTGCAAGGTTTATAGCAGTTCATAGAGACAACAAATATATCCATAAAAATGACTGAATACATTGAACACTACAGGTCTCCAATAAATAGTATGTTACAAAATTTTATAAAATTTCGTGATATACTTACGAAAGAATAAGATAAAATTAATAATGAATTTCATCGGTTTCTTTAGATTATCAATTTGAGGCTGCCCGTCTGAAAAGTTTCCATATCTGGCCGCATTCATGGAAGAAGTCAGAAGAATTCGCAGCGGCTGGATTTTTTTATACCGGTGAAAGCGACATAGTGAAATGTTTCGAGTGTGGTAAAGAACTATGGAAATGGAAAGTGGACGACGATCCAATGGTTGATCATCAGCGGTGGTTTGCAAAATGTAGGTTTATTCGTAAAATTCCATGCGGCAATGTACCGATCAGTACAGATCCTAGCGCAATTCCGACATCTGTGCCGGAAGGCGTAGATGAATGTGGAATTTATGTTCAAACAAACATGCCTAAATCCAGTCCAACCCATGAAGATCAAGTGAATTTTGGATTGAAAGAACTTGCATTAAAACCGAGGTATCCAGTGTATGTCAATTATGCTGCCAGATTAGCGTCGTATGATAAATGGCCCAAAGCAATGTCACAAACTAAAGAAGAACTGGCAACTGCTGGTTTCTATTATACGGGAAGTGGCGATGAAACATTATGTTATTACTGTGGTGGAGGATTAATGGATTGGGACCCACAAGATGATCCTTGGGTGGAACATGCCAAATGGTTCAACCAGTGTCCTTATTTGCTTGTAACTAAAGGATTAGAATTTGTAAACAACATTAGGAAACCATATACTGAAACAGTAAGTTTTTAATGAAATTGAAATATCGTATTGTATTATCACCAAAAATAATTAGTTAGTACTTTATAAGGTTTAAATGATAGTATGGTAATTTATTTATATGATAAAATATGTGTTTATGTTGTGTGTTATATAAGAATAAAGGCATTTAATAAAGACTTTAATAGTTGGCTCGTTTGCAGATTATTATATTTATATTTATATTTATATTTATATTTATATATGTACATTTATTTGCAAAGAATGAGCATTATCCTGTTACTTTTTTCCAAATGAAATATTAGAATTATATGATATTTTTATATTTATAATAGTTTAATCTCTTTAAAAAATTATGAAATAATTATGCTGAAGACAATATCAATCTTAAATTGTTTTGTTTTTTAGGAAACCAGTGCATCTACAGTTAACGAATTGGATAAGAAAGTGGAAAAAGATGATAGTGAGAGTATTGCTAGTGGAAGTACTCAAAACTCGCTTAGTTCTGAAGAAACTAATATTGTAGAAACAAGTACTGTATCAGGTGACAGAGATTGTCCCAAGGAACAATCTGTCCAAATACAGGTTGATAAACCACGCAACAAGGATTCAACATTATGCAAAATTTGCTTTACTAGAGAATTACATATTGCATTTATACCATGCGGACATTTATTGGCGTGTGCGGAGTGTGCAAGTAATATGAAAATATGCGGTATATGTCGTAAAGATATTGAAATTGCTGTACGAGTGTATTTCACGTAAGGAGTATTTTATCTTTGTAACAAATATTCCATGTGAATTGTGCAGCAGAATTTTGTATTTATCATAATGAAAATTGGTACTTTAAAGCAAAACTAAATTACACGATTCATATAGCATGCAGATCAATAGATGTTATTATATCTGTTGATCTATATCAATCATGTGATTTAGTTTTGCTTTGAAGTACCATAAAAAGTTCTTGTTAGCTCCTCCTTCCTTCCTCGATCTTATTTTCCGTGTTTGAGCGTTGTGACTTCTTTCATATGCCTGTGGTGCGCAGTTTGATTGTACACAGTCATAAGGGACCTTTAACGTCGATTCCAAACGACAATTTTGTTTAGAGAAGTGTACATGGGAAGAATATACTCTCCGGTTGTTTGCCATTGCCTGCCGAGAGGAGTTACGAGCGTTTAAAAAAAATTTTCAGTTCTAGGCTTCCAACTTTTTCATATAAAATGTCTGCGCAACGACACACCGACAACTGTCGGTAGGTGTGTAAGAACGGTTATGGAATCACTGGAATTGAACCCAGGATCTCTTGGCAGCAATCTCATGCGCTGCCTGCTACGCAACGCTCGCACTCAAAGGACGATTTAGACTACAATCCACTTGATGCTATGAATGCTTCGAAGCATCTTTTGATTGGTTAGTAAAATTAGTTAGTGAAATTCTTTCTTCCGATTGATCAATCAAAAGTTTCGAAGTATTTGTAATGCCAAGTGAATCGCACCCTAATATTTTTATTATGAAAATAATTATTTTCCAAATAATCCGAAATAACTTCAAACAATATTACAAATAAATAGTGTCTTATAATGCTTCATATTTTTTTCTCTTTTTTGCTTTCATGATGTATATCTTATCTTTTTATGAAATATATAGCAATATTAAAATAAATAAAAAGTAGAGTAAAAAACGGGAAATTAAGAGTCTTAATACGCGGTAATTGATGCGATTATCATATACACGTATATTTCGCATCAATTACCGCGTATTAAGACTTAATTGCCCGTTTTTTTACTCTACTTTTTATTTGTTTTAATATTTCAAGAACCCAATTTGAATTATTAATTCGCTTTTGCGATACACATTATAGCAATATAAGTGAAAAAAAAAATCACACATATATGAGGGTACGTTTCACATAATGCACCTGATATATCATTTTATTCTTTAATATTTAGCCCATTTCCACCAATGTAGATTAACTTCAGCTTACATTCTTCATTACTTCATTACTTCAGATTAACTTTATGCCTAAATTCTAAACAAAATTGTAAGTTTTATAACATTCTCGTAAGATTTATAGGAATTTTGAAGTGTTTATACTTTTATACGATATTTTTACAGACAGCTTTTTACTTAGCCATAAGATTTACAAGAAATTGTAAATATTTACGAACAATCTTATGTCTTACCTTACATACGCATAAAATTAGAATACTGGTTATAAGTTCTTACGAGTTTTACGAGAACAAGTTACGAGTCTTACGATTCTGCTTAGAATTGACCTATTAATCTGGATTCAACTTACTCTTGTCTTTTTCTAATCTTTAGAACTAAAAAAAGACGAAGAGTAAGTTTAACCGAGATTAAAGTTAATCTACATTAGGGAAATGGGCATTAGTGAACACAAAGATAAAATGATACCATCATGAAACGAAACGCATTCCAATGCATTCTTGTGTATCCCAGTTGCATCAATGTCACTTTGACTTTAAGCAAGACTTAAAACTCTATCTGCCGTTTTAAACCTAAAAAGAGACAGAGACAGAAATAGTTTTAAGAAATAGTTTTTAATAAGCTCTTAAAATCAAAGTTGGTGCAAGAATAATAAATTATTAATATCTAAGAATAATAAATTAGTAATACGGTACTAATTTCATAATTTATTAGTTTCGTAGACATGTACATATATTTAAAACTTAATAACACTCGATTTTTTATTTAAAACTTATTTTAATGATATCATCCGAATTTGATTATTACTAGAGATGATAATTGCAGAGGAAAAATTGTAATTTTTTAATATATAAGATATATTATTTACAGTATACATACTTATTTATACAGCTTTTATATAATAAAAAATCATGAATTTAATAACGTATCATCAAAATATTTATGTTAATCATAAATTTTTATTAATTGTCGGTAACGTCATTGTTCTTCAATTATCCTCGGACTCTATTGATATTCACAAAAATTTGCCCAGAACTGAGAGTCTTTAATAGCATCTCGTCGGTGCACATGATTACACTCATTGTGGTGAAATTCATTCACACATACACTAATCTGTATACAATTATCTTCGTTTCGAGTGTAGATAGTGCTATAAAATGCGGCTTGAGAAATAGATCGGCCGTTTGTAACAATTTGTCTCTAATTTGTACATACTATTGTTAAAATGTTAATACAATATAAAAACAATTATTAAGTTATGTAAAAGACTGTGAAAAACATCACGACCGATAATGGAATTTATGATCTCAAGCCTACGTCAAGGGCCAATTGCTACTGTACTTTGACCCCTGACTTGATCAACTTTATTATTTCGTCGATACTTTTGTTGATAGACTTCCAGTCTCATATATTATAATCATGTCGGATACCGTTAGTCCTATTAAATATTTCTTGAGCGGTGGA